ATGGTCCAACCACCTCTTACTGTTATGTGCCTCACTAATAAAAGTAAAAGCGCCTTGTGAGTTGAGGTAGTTAAAATCTGCACAAATCCACCTTTGCTCTTGTGAAAAGCACAGGAGCTCATCACAAAATCTTTCACCAGGATGCGCATTGAAATCACCTAACACAAATACTGACTCAACATTATTGTCCTGTATTATTGCACTAATAGCACCTAAGCAGTCTGTAAATTCAGGTAAGTTCTCACTGCAATCGACGGGCATGTATACACTTAGCACTAACACATAACAGTCTTTCATCGCAATACGTATTGCTGAGATTCGCGGATTTGCACATGTTAACACTGACACATTTTGAAACACTGACTTGCGCCACAGCAGCGCAACGCCACCATATGGCCTGCCCTTCACCACGCCAGTCGTTGTGTCCACCGCCGATGTACCGGTACTCCCGAAGTCTGCATGAATTGTGTCGAGGAAGGGAAGATCATGCGGCAAAAGCCATGTTTCTTGTAACGCAACAATATCAGCGATATCGCACAGTTCTCTGACGCCATCAACTGAACGTTTTATACTCTTACAGTTAAACGATATAATGTTTGAGTTGTGTACATCCATATTTAAAAGTTACGTTTATTCGCCGCTTTCCACGGTAGTTCTGTATGGTCTGAAGCGCCGACAGGTAACTCCGTTGGGCCAGACTTCAGTATTCAAAAACATATTTAAGGCGTCTTTATTCACAGTTAATTTATAAGCGTTATATGGTTTATCGGTTTTCATTTTAATCTTCTGTATAGATACCGTCTCCTTTGTTTTAGTAAATATATAATCAACTATATCATTTTCTGATGTATCTTTATGTACGTTTGACAAAAATAGGCATAATTTTATTTCAGCCGGATTAAATTTGTCATCTGGGCTGATGACTGCCTTGCCTTTAACACCTTCCTGTCTATTCCTATGTTTACGCCGCTGAACCTCTCTCCATTCCAGGTCAGGATGGGTAACCCTCCATTCACCTCCGTAACGAACTACGTCCGCCATAGACATATTACACGTATTATTTTCCTGGATGGTAGTATTATTAATATTTTTGTGTGCTACAACATTTTGGAACAAACTCTCTTGCTCCACTAAAATATTTTGGAAAGAACTTTTTTGCTCACCCACACATTGCAACATCGAATCCGTAGCAACTTTGTTTGTCGTGTCTCTCTTTCTGTTTACATCGCAGGTCGTATGCGCAGTGCTAACATTTTGTAGTTTAGCGCATACTGCTGTGTTAGGGGGCGGGGCCTCCTCGCTTGGGCTCAAGCATTGCAATGTCGCATTCAAGGTCACGTCACTGGATGCTCGCTCGGCGCTTAATTTACGCGCACCTACATTTCGTAATAACTGTTTTGAAGGCTCTTCGAAGTTTTTAGTTCGTGAATGATTGCTACTAATATCAGTGTTAGTGTCCTTAACATATTGAATAGTAGCATAAGTTTCTTTTATGTTCTGAACCTCCGATCGCAAAAGCACAATATCTTTTAACAATCTTGTTACGTCGACATGATCGAAAGTAACCGGCGGTAACTTCTGCAGCTCCCGCGCCACGAAGATAGGAGTTTTATCTGGATCTGTGCTCTTAAATAAGCAAATGATGTCTTCGATATCTTTTTGCTCATTGTTCTTGCGCCTCGAGATATTACGGGTAGTAGTAGTAACCGACTCGAATAATAAGTTTTTAGCTTCAGTTATTTCTACACCAGAGAATGCACTCACTATTATTCTTATTAAACTTTCTTCGTCCATAACGTCTATTTTGTTTTGAGTAAAACATAACAACTCATTTATCACTATATTGCACTGTGTACACTTTAAAATTTGCGCGGTTTGCGCCGCCATTTTTTCTGCACCCGAACGCTAGCGCGGTCGCGGGGAGACTTAAATAACATGTTTTCTAAACCAAAAATGTAACCATTCCAGCAAAATCGACTGGGAGTTCCAAGGCAAGCTGTTAACATCAAACGCCATATTCCAATCCAGATACAAAAGGTCCCACACAAAACAGAAAACTAGAAGAAACGCACCAAGCGTGAACATTAATGGAATCCTGTCTATTCCCGAAATTTCTAAAGAATTAAATGGTGCTATTTATACATGCATAGTTACTAGTCCTTCTGGTGAAATGGCCAGAAGAGCCTTCGAGATCCAAGTGATAGAAGCTCCTGTATTGGATGACCTGCTTCTTGGAACCAACCTCCAGGAAGGTCAGATTGTAAACATCTATTGTAACGTCAGGACTGGTGACTTGCCAATACATTTTGAATGGCTGAAGGATGGAAAGAGGATTTCTAGTAATTTGAAAGTAAGTATTAAATTGTCTAGTTTCCTAGGTTTAAAATAAATTGTTTCAACTTTTCAATGCAATAAATAATTAAAAAATAATCATACTCTCATCCACTGATTTGACAATTTACATATTTTTGGATATTTTCTCGCCAATTTTAAGGAAATAATTATGCTATTTGACGCAGAAATATGATGACGTCATAAATTGCGATCCAATACAAAATTCATAGAAAAGTAGTGTTTTTGACAATTCAATAAAAGTATTGAATTTGACTACCTATCGACTACCGTATTATAGAAATTTGAGTTTCTATTATAACTTTCGTGGGTTATACTAAATTAATCATTATGTTTTCGGCTTAAGTAACTGTTTGACTCGACTCGACGGACTCGACTAGTTTCAAGCCATGCTAAAGGCTCATACTCATTGGGCCTTTAGTGAATCTCATGAATGCAGCAATCATAGACACACCTTTATACTCAGGTGGTAGAAAGAAACTCGGAGCTCTTCAGTGCCCTGGTAATCAAGAAAGTCTCCCTAGAGCACTGTGGCACATACACGTGCGTCGCGTCCAACCACGTGGCCAAGGTCAACAGATCCACTGAACTATACATTAAAGGTAACTTCTTTACTTTCTTGTTTCCTGGTACTCGTAATTCGATCAGATTTTTCCTAGTATTAAGATTGAGGTAAATTTTACTTGAGTGTCAATAGGGTAGTTGCCAAGGAATAAAAATTAAAAATCTTATTAATCCGTGGTCGTTACGTCACTAAGTGCTACAAAATGTAGCGCATAGTGACGTCACATGATATTTCAGATTAATATGTCGTCGAAAATATTTAATTTTGTGAGAATAGAAAAAATACGTGTCTAATGTTTTTTATTAATTTACAAGATGGGCATTAAAAAAATATAAATAGGCAACTACCCTATTGAACTTTTCTGGAAACTAGATTTTAGAGAAATTATTATAATCTGTTCTAAATTAGACTTAGAAAGAAAATAGAATAATGAGCTCTTGTTAATATAGATTTGTCGTTGTTATACGTAATACCGGGTTTTAAAAAATGTCTTAATAGTAATTTTTTGGTCATATTTTTGCAGTTGCACCCAAATGGTTGGAAGAACCGAACAACTCCTCGCTTCTGCTTGGTAGGAGAGGAGCAGTGTCGTGCAGTGCTAGTGGCTACCCTCAGCCACAAGTCCACTGGATGAAGAAAGATGGTAAGGGATACTATCCGTCAATAAACTTAGAAGAACAATATTGCGACAATTATTAAAAACTTGTGTTCATATTTGAATGGCATTAACAGTGATAATATCATGGCTTGTTGGCCAAGTGGTCGCAAGTGCTACTGCTGGGCAAAGGGTTTTGGGTTCGATTCCCGGGTTGAGCAAAGTACATTTGGGTTTTTACAAAAAAATGTCAGCAGTAGCACAGAGTCTGGAATTGTGCTCGGTATATGGCAATAGGCTCACACCCAATTACACGAGTGTCATAACATAAATAGTGAAAAGTGGGTGTTACATTGTACAGTGGCATCAAGTGCCGTAATGTGCACCTCCGCCTACCCCTTTCGGGGATAAAAGGCGTGATATTATGTTATGTTAGTGATGATGTTTATTTGGTTAGATGGTGATAAACGCGAAAATATCTTTAGTAACAAATAAACTCACTTTCCGATTTATAATATTAGTAAGGATTATTTTACTTTTTATATTTATTCTTATGATATGTATTCCATTGTTGTATCTATATATTTATTACATAATTATATTTTGTTTGTCTTTGTCTAACCATAAAATGTTGCTACCATCCGTACGTCACTGCAAGGGTGCCCACTGAAAATCAGTGCTGGGTGACTCGTATGCCTAGATTACACTGACTGGGCAACCTATTTAGCATAGGCATGTTGTCAGCGCCTCTTTTCTGATTCTTCTGTTTTAATTTTTACCATAATGTATATTTTATTTCCACCGTCACACTTTTATTGTCTTTTTTATATTTTTTATTTATGCTGCATCATGCTTGGTATTAAATAAATGTTTTTTCTTTTTTTGTAGAATTTAAACTGAGATACTAAAATAAATCAAATTTAAAAGAATTTAGTGCAAAATATGAATGCAAATCTAAAACTATTCTAAATGTTTCGCAGCTCTCCTCGGCACATGGCAACCAGTCCTGGAGCTGGCTGGTGGTGGTATCGTCAGTTTGCCAAACGGGACCCTCATTATAGAAGAAGTATCTCTTACTGACGACGGTCTGTACTCCTGCAACGTGGAGAATGGGGTCGGACAACCGCTCAGCAAGACTGTGTGGATGAGTGTTAATAGTGAGTGATTTTATTTAATTATAAAGTCTACAAACTGTAGTCGATATCTTTTTTTACTTGTAATATTTATAATATTTTATCATATCACTACATAGCATAAAACAAAGTCGCTATCCGCCGTCTGTCTGTCCCTATGTATGCTTAGATCTTTAAAACTACGCAACGGATTTTGATGCGGTTTTTTTTATTAGATAGAGTTATTCTTAAGGAAGGTTTATACGTCACTCAAGGATGTGCTGAAAATCAGCGCTGCGACGCTAACCTCTTGAGGTTTAAGTCGCAGAAATTGCTGAGCATATCCTGTTTTTGTGCACGCATACATGACGCACAATATTAGGGCAAGGGGTTACGCTAGCATCAAGTACCTATAATTGATTCGTATTGTTTTATATAATTAAACTTTTATATAATAATATACTCCTTAACCAATTTTATGAAATGCATGCAACTGTATAGTCAATAGATATGAAGTAATTAGGGTGTTCCTTGTCTATGGTCCACAGATAATATTAGATATTAAGTTTTCTATGATTTCAGTAAAAAAATAATAAGTCTGTGGACCATGGACAAGACTTCACTTCATTTTAATTTTTTTAGCTTTTATTTTATTTTATTTTTAATTATGTTATGTGTGTTTTGCGCAAGAATAAATGGTTTTTCTTTCTTTTCTTTTCTATGTATAATACACGAATATTGCACCCGTGCAAAGCCGGGGCGGGTCGATAGTTTATAATATGTACAGGATTATCCATTTAAAATAGCAAACAAATGTCGGAATACTCAAACGCTACTCAATTTTAAGTCGTGCTTAAGTATAGTTCTATCTCTGCAAATTCTTTGTAAAATGACAGAGATGGCACGATATTTAAGCACGACAAAAATCCGGCAAAAATCCACTAACTTTACTAAGCATTCTTGGCCTTTAAGACAATTGCCTCGTTGGGCGAGTGGTCGCTAGTGCGACTGCTGGCAAGGGGTCTCGCCTCTCGGGTTCGATTCCCGGACAGTTCAAATTATAACTGGGTTTTTGAAAAAAATGTGAGTAGTATCACTGAGTCTGGAAATGTGCCCGGTATGTAGCAATAGGCTAACTTACCCTATTACGTTGGACTCATAACACAAATAGTGAAAAGTGGGTGTTACATTGTACAGTGGCATTGAGTGCTGTAATGTGCACTTCTGCCTACCCCTTCAGGGATAAAAGGCGTATTGATGATGTAATAGTAAACAAACCATAATCAAAAAACTGGCCTTCTAACAACTATATCTACTTACGACTGCAGGGCTGGCGCGGTGGCTGGCGCGCTACGTGTAGCGGGTTCGATTTCCACAAGGAACAACTCTTTGTGTGATCCACAAACTGTGTTTTCGGGTTTGGGTGTCATGTGCATGTGATTTATTTATTTGTAAACGCACCCACTAACGACACAAGAGAATTTCCTAGAGAGTGACAACGGTTTAAAAAAAATTTAAAAAAATATCACCATGTCATGATCATGAGAGTAATTGCTTAAAAATTTCAGAACCAGTCCACTTCGAATCATCGTCAGCGAATGTGACGTCAAGACTTGGTCTCCCAGTCACATTAGAATGTCGACCTCTTGGAGACGAGCCAATCAGGGTAACTTGGATGCATGAGGGAAATGCTCTGGATTATATTAATCAGAGGTAACTTTTATTATTGTTGAATATATAATTTTATTTAGCATATAAAAATTAGCTTAAAGTTAGTGGTAGTTGGTAAGTTATTAATCTGTCAGAGGACAGCACTTACAAGAAATATTTTGTATTATCTGTATTTACTTTATATGTCTATAGTCTATATTCATCTCTCTTGTCTTTGTTATTTACCTGGTGAAAAAGTTCTAAGTTTTGTTCAGCAGAAAATCTCAATTTCATTTAAATATAATAAGAATCCTATATGAAACCTACATTGTTAATTATTTATTCTTTTATTTATTATTAGTTATGTTAGTCTCATTTGTCTTCGATAGAATTGGGATGATGGCAGGGGGTATGAACATTAAAAATATAATTAGTCCGTAAGTTAGGTAATGAAAAAATATTAGACACATATTTTTTTATTTTGTCGTATAATAATTGACGTTCCATAGTCTCTGCCTACCCCCATTTGTTGCAGTCGTGATTTTTTTTTGAAATACTAAAATTAAGTTAGCCATAAAATCAATTGGGTACTTGCCTTAATCAAAAATAAATTATTTTAACTGTTGTATTGTATTAACAATAAAATATGAAAAAGTAAACACACTTTCATTAATTGATTTTATGACCAACGTGACGTCACAATACACAATCTCGTACAAAATTCATAGAAAACTTTCGTTTTTGACTAGTTGGCAAGTACCTAATTGATGAAAGTGTGATTATATTTTAATATTTTATCGTATTGAACAGTCGGAATAATTTATTTTCGAATAAGAAAAGCACCTAATTCAAATCATTTACCAAATTACAAGAGAAATATTGTATCATTTTTTCCAGAGCCAAAATATCAGAGACGAAGACATCTCTCGGCGTGGTCAATACCATCAACCTTCAGTATTCAGAGGTTGGTGACGCAGGACAGTATCAGTGCCGAGCTACCAATCCGTACGGAACTGCAACTTTTAGTGTACAGCTTACTATATTGGGTAGGTATTGTTGTATTTTTAATACGTTACTGCTTTTGATTGCTAACAAAAAACTGTTGAGGTAAAAATATCTGCTATTGTACGGTTAGGTACACCTTGCTTAGGTTCGCTGGTAAAGATGTTTGCTTCTTGAAGTTAAGTCAGTTGAGTTGATGAGTGCAAAGAGAAAGAATAACTTATGATACGTTTATTAGTTAAGTTATACAAGTTGAAGGTTGGCGATTCCTTTCTCTATCGTTGGTTTATTAGCACGCACAGAGTTTACTTAATCGATGACTATTTATACTTAAATTACGAACGCGCGACGCGACATAGTTGCCGCATCAGCACTACCCATATACAGCGTGTACAGTTTAAGACTGTACAGCTATGTTGTCCTCCATGGCGTTCAAGTGTTAACGAAAAGAAACTAGAGACCTAACATTTTGTACATTATTCTTGCATTCAAAAGTCAAAGTCAAAATCATTTCAATTAGACCAGAACAGCACGTTTTGAACGTCAACAAAAAATTAAAAGTGAAGCTATTTGCTCATCCTAAGGTCATTCCTATGAAGAAAAACAAGCAAGAAACTCCTTAAGTTACTCTTTTTCAATCAGGTTCACAATACAATTCTCTAGTTACATAGTTTTGTGAGAACAATGTAATTCATATTATTCATTGATGTCTTGTCAACATTTTCCAAAACGACTTACCAAGCAACTTCAGTTTAGCAATACTTAACAGATAAAGTATTCCTCTACTTACTCCTTTGTGTTTTAATAACCTTAACCAGACTCTCATTCATAAACAGCAATATCGAAGCACTCCACACAGGTCGTATACTTGTACTCCCAGAGCCCCCCCGGCCGCCGTCGGACGTCCGCGTGGAGTGGGTGCGGGCCCGCGCGGCCGCGGTGTCGTGGCGCGGGCCGCGCGCGCACGCGCCGCACTACTCGCTGCAGTACGCGCACGCGCACCACGCGGACGTCGTCTGGGAACATGCCACTACTGTTAATGTTACCAGGTACATTGTTGTTATCGTTGTTGTCATGTCATTTTTATGGGATGAGCCGGTAAACGAGCCCACGGCTCACCTGATGATAAGCAATAGGTGTCGCCCATGTACACCTGGACCATTAGAGGTGTTACAAGTGCGTTACCGACATTTTGGGATTCGAAATTTGATGATTGTTGTGGATTCGGGGATTAGGGAAAGAGGAGAAGGGGTGATTGGGCTTCCGGTAACCTCACTCACGACAAAACACAATGCAATCATTGTTTCACGTCGGTTTTCTGCTCGGCCGAGGTATCACAATACAATTCACAGATTCACAATACAATTTTCCAGTTACACAGTTTTATTGGATCGATTGTGCGAGAACAATGTAACACCAAAATCCAGTCAAAGACATCGAAAAAGAAAATAACCTTAAAGACAATAAACAATACAGTCTGCAGCTGACCAGTCTCAGTTGACGGCGCCCGTTCACAACCATGACACGTACCCTAGCCCCGCCCAACTCAACCATATTGTGGGGAATCGAGCGATCCAATGCACGTGCCACTGCCAATGACATCTTTGCGTGAGCAAGACAGCTCCAGAAGAATTATTAAGCATGATATTTAACAAATTCCAGAAAAGACCAAGAGCTCCGTCAGTCAGTGGAGCTGCAGAACCTGCGGCCAGCTACCCCGTATGCCGTCCGCGTGGCCACGGGCAACCAGGTCGGCGTCTCGCAGTACACCGCTCCCGTACACTTCACTATGCATGAAGAAGGTATGCAGTTAAGACAATCACAATAATTAGGTACTTGCCAACTAGTCAAATTCAATACTTTTTTCGAACTGTCAAAAACGACAGTTTTCTATGAATTTTGTACAAGATTGTGTATTGTGACGTCACGTTATTTTAGCGTCAAACAGCATACTTATTTCTTCAAAACTTGCTGGAAAATACTAAAATTAAGTTGGCCATAAAATCAATATAAGAAAGTGTGATTATTTTTAAATATTTTATTGTATTGAACAGTCGAAATTATTTATTTTTGATTAAGGAAAGTACCCAAGTATGAATTACGAATATTCATAACAATGAATTCGTTAACTATCTTACAACAGTGTAAAGAAATATAATATATTTTAGAGACAAGAAATAAACACTGATTACCACGCCCGTTCCATGTGCACTAGGAAAACTAAAATCCTGTCTTGTAGTTTTTTCTTGTTCATAATTTTATATGACGAGGTATTATTATTCGGAAAACAATCAGGGGTAAACAATTAAAGTGCTCTGCAAATGAAATTTCTATACGGAGTCGCAGAGAACCTACATACCGGGACTCCGGCTCGAAGTGCAGAAGAAGGAACGGGGTGGTTTTTAGTCAGTAAGAGTCTGACACTCCCTCCCGCCTCACCCAGGCGGGTGCAGTCATTCGATGATTTTCCCCCCTTAAAAAAAAAAAAATATCTAGAAGCATACATAGGCTACATAATAATAAATATTCTTCTACAGTAAGTATAAGGTTTTTAACAAAGCATTCTATCTTCTTCCAGCTCCATCATCAGCCCCAATCAACGTGCAAGTGGAGCAGACGGAGAATCCTGGCGAGCTCTACGTGTCGTGGTCTCCACCGCTCAAGGAGACGCACAATGGTGTCATCATGGGGTACCATGTCAAGGCTGTGGCACAGAATGTTGGATCAGGTAGAAATTTGAAAAAAAATCAATGAATAAATCAAAAAAGAAATAAGTGCCCGGTATATGGCAATAGGCTCACCCCCTATTACATGGGACTCATAACATAAATAGTGAAAAGTGGGTGTTACATTGTACAGTGACATTAAGTGCCGTAATGTGCACCTCTGCCTACCCCTTCGGGGAAGAAAGGCGTGATGTTATGTTATGAATGAATAAATCAAACATAACTCAACGTCGCGTTGGTGCATTCATGTTGCTTTTAAGAACCCCTTCACGCTAGCTTACGTCCAGCATAGGCGATCGATAAACGTATACGCCGCGCAGACACCGCGCTGGCGTCGCGTGCACAATAAAAAGTTACGAGCATAAAATTAATATTATTAGTTTCAGATGAAACTGATACACGAACTATCAAGGTATCACAACTTTTGGGGAAACAAGAAACTTTACTCAGTGGACTGATGAAGAATACAAGGTACAGTTTCGTTATTAAATTAGAGGTCCCCCCTATTGAACATATGCCACAACACCCGATCCCTAAGTCCCCACCGTCGTCGTCCTACTAAACCATTCTACTATTGAAAACATATTGGTAGCAATTCGTTTATATTGTCTATCTGTTACGGAATGAAAATTGTAATTCGTTAAAAGACTGCCTCGTTGGCCAAGTGGTCGCATTTTGCGACTGCCGGGCAAGGGGTCTCGGGTTCGATTCCCGGGTCGAGCAAATAACTATTGGGTTTTTTAAAAATTTCTCAGTAGTAGCACGGAGTCTGAAATTGTGCTCGGTATATGGCCATAGGCTCACCCTTATTACATGGGACTCGTACCATAAATAGTGAAAAGTGGGTGTTCCATTGTACAGTGGCATTAAGTGCCGTAATGTGCACCTTTACCTATTTCTTCGGGGATAAAAGCCGTGATGTTATGTTATGTTCGTTAAAAGTAGTTTTTTTTAAGGCATATGCCGCTAAACGAGCATACGAATCACCTGATAGGAAGCAATCGACGTCGTCCATGGACACCTAAAACACCAGAGGCATTACAAGTGCCATACCGGCCTTTTGGGGATTTGGAGTTTGAGAATCGTTGGGGATTCAGGAATTGGGGAGATTGGGGAAGGGGAGGGTAATTGGGCTCCGGTAACCTCACTCACACGACGAAACACAACGCAAACGTTGCTTCACGTCGGTTTCTGCTCGGCCGTGGTATCACTCCGGTGGGGCCGGCCCATTCGTATCGAAGCAGGGCTCTCTCGCACTTAGTGTTACTGTACTTAGTGAAAGTTGTGAATGTATTTGATTAACATTTTCAGGTATTCTGTATCTGTGGCAGCGTTCACAAATGCTGGTTCAGGACCATTCTCCTTGCCAGTCTTTCAAGATACGAGAGAAGGAGGTATTTTTGGATTACTTAAACTTGATTTTAATCTTAATCTTACAACCTTGCTGACTGCCTCGTTAGCCGAGTGGTCGCAAGTGTGATTACCGGGCAAGGGGTCTCGTGTTCGATCCTGGGTCGGGCAAAGTATTGCTGTTTTTTTTTTTAAATCTCAGTAGTAGCACGGAGTCTGGAATTGTGTCCGGTATATGGCAATAGTCTCACCGCCTATTAACTTGGGACTCATAAGATAAATAGTGAAAAGTGGGTGTTACTTCTGTGTGCACATGTGCCTACCCCTTCGGGGATAAAAGGCGTGATGTTATGTTATGTCTTACAACCTTAACACCCAAATACAGAAATGTTATTAAATTTGAAGTTGTACTTAAATATCGTGCTATCTCTCTCATTTTACAAGGAATTTGTAGAGACAGAACTATCCTTGAGAACGTCTTAAAACTAAAATCTGTTTAAGTTCATAATTTATACGACCTTAAGACCTAATTAGTATTTGCTCTAGCTCTCTAAAATAATAAAAGACTGCCTTATTGGCCGAGTGGTCGCAAGTGCGACTGCCGGGCAAGGGGTCTCGGGTTCGATTCCCGGGTCGGGCAAAGTATTACTGGGTTTTTAAAAATACTTAGTAGTAGCACGGAGTCTGGAAATGTGCTCGATATATGGCAATAGGCTCACCCCCTATTACATGGGACTCATAACATAAATAGTGGAAAGTGGGTGTTACATTGTACAGTGGCATTAGTGCCGTCATGTGCACCTCTGCCTACCCTTTCTGGGATAAAAGGCGTGATGTTATGTGTGTTATGTGTAGTATTTGTACTAAATTATAATAAAGAACGACTTAATTCCCGCTGGTGGCAGAATAAATCGGAGATGTCTTTATTTAAAAAAAGTTATGAGTATTTAAACAGAATTAATGACAACTATTATCTGTCTCCAGCACCAGAACAAGCTCCATCTTCGGTGGAGTGTACGGCTGTCTCCTCTACATCATTGAGGATTGGTTGGCAGCCCATCGGTGTACCTGGACAGGGTAGCTCCCTTGTAGGGTACACCGTACTGTTTGCAACTGAAGGTAAGTGAAGATGAACTACAGCTTTGATTATGATGTCATGATAATCGAAAATTATTTTAACTTCTTAATCCCCGATTATGAAAAATCCACAACATTTGTTCATACAAAAGTAGTCTCTCAGTATCGGAAATAGGGTCTATAATGGTGTAAGTGGAGAGCGGTCACCGGTTACCGCTCTGGCAGTGATACCAAATACTATCAACAGACGAGCATGCATGAAAAGACTGAAACTGTTGATGAAGCGAAAGAGGTTTGTAAGAATCGTAGCAATTGGCGTTCCATTGTGTCTGCCTACCTTTATGGGAGACAGGCGTGAGGTATGTACTACTTTCATTTTTGATGAAAATTTGTAAGTCCTGTACTCCTTGCACACCCTTTTGCTACACTCCTAAATATCTCACTTATCATGACCTCCAATTTTATAGCCCTAAGGGCCGAAATACACGTCGCGGAGAACCTAACGGGTAACCGGGGCTCCGGCTCGACGTGCAGGAGAAGGAATTTTAGTCAGTAAGAGTCTGACACTCCCTCCCGCCTTACCCAAGCGGGAGCAGCCATTCGATGATTTTTACATAACCGCGTTGCGTCGTCGCAACGCTAAAATCGGCAGTTCCGTCGCCGCAACGCAACGCTCGTTCCAGCATAGCAGAGTAATGTCTTCTTAGAAACAAATAAGCTATAAGTTTTTCACGATGGTCCAAGGCAGAGACACATCTATCCACAATAAAAAACCACGACGGATAGGTTACCCTACCGAACGACAACAAAACGCTCTTTTTCAAAACACGACGCCGCAACGCAACGCACCGCAACGCAAACTGCCGATTATGTGCTTCGGCCCTAAAGAAGACATTCCAACCGTTTATTCTTTAACATACCTATAAATAATACTGCTTTTTACAGAAGCGGCGTGGCAAAATCAGACATCTTTGCACACTGAGCTCTACTTACAAGGCCTGCTGAAGTACACCAACTACACCGTCAAGGTCGCCGGCTTCTCGAACTTTGGAGCTGGTCCATATTCCTATCCAATTGTTTGCGCTACTCTGCAGGACGGTGAGTTGACAATTCCGCATTGGGGATGATGACAGGGTATGAAAATTAAAAATATATATAGTCCGTAACTTAGGCAATAAAAAAATATTAGACACGTATTTTGTAATTTTGTTGTATAATAAAACAATACTTAGATAAAACGAGTCAAAGTTTTGGAGTGGGGGCTAAAACGTCATTTCTTAGTATAAAATGTACTGAGAAGTGACGTCACGCGACATTTCAAATCAATATATCTTCGAAACTATTCGTTTCCGTAAGAAAATAAAAAATACGTGTCTAATGTTTTTAAATAATCTACCAGACGGACATTAAAATAAAAATTAGTCGTCTACCCTATTCCTATAAACCACATTCTACATTAGATACAACCATGAAAACACCGGCTCCCGGAATGAAATAAATCATATCATACTAGCTTCGGCCCGCGACCTGGTCAGAAAATAAGCATTTCCATTAAACGTGGCAATGCTGCCAGTCTCCTAGGAACGTTTCCCTGTAATAGTGATGCGGACGAATACTTTGACACCAAATTAACTCGTCGAGTACCGGTTTTGTAGACACAATTATAGAACAATAGGTTGCGGTCACCGGCGACCGCTTGGTGTTTGACAGTTTAAAGGTGTTTTTCTTTCATAATTCTTTTTATTAGGTTAGGTTTAGTTGTAGTTAATTTTAACAACATAACATTACGCCTATTATCTTCGGAGTGGTGCACATTACGGCATTTAAATGCCACTGTACAATGTAACACCCACTTTTCACTATTTATGTCATGAGTCCCATGTAAAAGTGGATGAGTTATTGCCATATGCCGGGCACAACTCCAGACTCCGTTCTACTACTGAGAATTCTTAAAAAAACCCAGTAATACTTTACCCGACCCGGGAATTGAACCCGAGACCCTTTGCCCGGCAGCCGCAATTGCGACCACTCGGCCAACGAGGCAGTCAATTAATTTTAAGGAGGAAATATTTATTTAACTGTGAACTACATACTAAGTACCTACTGCTGTAGCGTTATAATTCATAGGACACTATCATCATCACCATCAACAGCCTATAAGCCCACTGCTGAGGAAAGCCTCTTCTCACACGGAGAAGGTTTGAGCATTAATTACCACACTTGCTCAATGCAGATTGACGATTACAAACTTATAATTAGAAATTATAAGCCCAGGTTTCCTCACGATGTCTTCCTTCAGCGTTTGTCAGTGGTGTCTAAATAATCTTAGAAAGTACATATAACTCGGAAAAAGTCACATTGGTACTTGCTTTTAGTAGGTTTCGAACCCCTACGCTAATGCATGAGGAGCGGGCCTCTTAAACCTTAAGAGCACCACGACATTTGCAATTGAATAACATAAGGTAATTCATCCATAGTCAAAATCAAATTCAAGGAATCTATCATTTGTGGCATATCGAAAGAATAGTATTAAATTTGAACTGTTGGAAAGTACTTGATTCTTAATCGTCTATTACATTGTAATTCGTACCAATAATCTTCTCGGTAATTGCTCGAATTCCGAATAATTTTTTCCTTTAGGGATAATTGATAGGTACTATCGTTCATATTATATTATTTATTAATGTTAAATTATAACAATGGGCGTAGTTTCCCAATGAAACCTAATAATATCACTTGCACTGTGGTATAGTCACGAACTACCAGGCGCTATCAGCTACACAGTTATTCGTGGAAGCCTATGTGAGGTTGTGCATGTCATATGGCTAAAACAATGATGATAAATATCATGAGTTTCTCTTATGAATTATTTTTAACATAGAAGACATCACGCCTTTTATTCTCGAAGGGGAGTATTTATGTCACTGTATAATGTAACACCCACTTTTCACTATTTATGTTATGAGTCCCATGTAATAGGGGGCTAGGGGGTTAGGCTATTGGCAAAACTGTAAAACGTAAACGTATGTAAACGAATAACCCGTTGTTAGGTAAGTACCCAGAAAATATTTTTTGAACTATTTTACCTTTCCTAGAACTTAGAACGTAAAACCTAGTTTGGTTTGGTTAAACAACATTTACCTTAACTATATTATACTACCTATAACATTAGTTATATGTGCGTAATAGGGGGAATTATTATTAACCGACTTCAAATAGAAAAAAATGTAGGTACTTATTTTGACCTGTATATTGTATTTATCATTTTCTAGCCACCCGCCTCAGCTTCGCACGGGTGCAATATGCATGTATTCTACATATAAACGCTATAACGAATCACTCTATCTATTAAAAAAAACCGCATCAAAATTCGGTTGCGTAGTTTTAAAGATATAAGCTTACATAGGGATACATAGACAGACGGCGGATAGTGACTTTGTTTTATAATAATTATGTAGTGATGTATGTATATTTGTGTACGATTATCTCGCGATTGGTTGAACCGATTTTGATGCAGTGTTCAGACGGTAAATTACATTAATCGAATTAGATTACAAAAAATATTTCTATTATTTAGTACTACGTTGTTGCTCGCGTAGAACCCTGTTTTTTATGGCATAAGCCGGTAAACGAGCAGACGGATCACTTGATGGTAAGCAATTGGCGTCGCCCATGGACACCGGGAACACCAGGGGCGTTACAAGTGCGTTACCGGCCTTTTGGGGATTAGGAGTTTGAGGATCGTTGGGGATTCAGGAATTGGGGAGATTGAGGAGGGTAATTGGGCCTCCAGTAACCTCACTCACACGACGAAACACAACGCAAGCGTTGCTTCACGTCGGTTTTCTGTGAGGCCGTGGTATCACTCCGGTCGAACCGACCCATTAGTGCCGAAGCATGGCTCTCCCACACTTAGTTTTATTATATTAGTAATTTGTATATGTTTATTGGTATATTTATATCGGGATAAAAATAAAAGTCAGCCCATGTCCTGCCGGTATACCGAATTTCATTAGTAGTTTCAGCGTGATGGACGGACAAACATCCATATAAAGAACCTTTCACATTTTAGTGTGATGTAGTAACACAGATGCCACAAATTGTACTATAACTTATTCCCATTTTCACAGTGCCAGGTCCACCAGCGGACATCAAGGTCCTGGTGCTATCCTCGTCATCACTACTCGTCAGCTGGAAGAGACCTCTTCATCCAAACGGCGAACTCCTGCATTATACGGTCTACGTGAAGCCTACGTCCAGGTCAGTTTCAATTACATATTGTAGTCTTTAAGATTAATATTTGAACACCAGTAGAGTTATAACTGAAAGACGATGAGTATTGAATGCTTAATGGAAGATAAGTATCAAAACTTATTATGCGCTCTAAATGTCATTAAGTTAGTGCAATGTGCACTTATGGTATGGTAGCTAAAAATAACCGTCTGGGCAAAAATATACAAAATTATTCATTGCCTTAACACAATTTTAAAACTACTGAAGTTTGAATAAATCTCCAGTTTTAAACTGTCAAACACCAAGCGGTCACCGGTGACCGCAACCTATTGTTCTTTAATTGTGTCTATAATGACGGTACTCGACGAGTAAGCACTATCTACTTCTACAGTTTCAACTAAAACAAAAAATGTACCAGGATCTTAAAATGCCTGCAACTATCTATAAGAATCTTTGATACGTAATAAGACCATTGCTATTGCAAATTCCTTTTAGTAAAAACACAATGTTTGATACTCTTAACCCAATATTTTTAAGATTACCCTCGACTACTCAAAGTAACTTTATTGTATATGTTTTAAGTATGTACCTAACGTAATATTTTGGTTGTTCATAAATATGGATATATTGTTTCGAGCACTGATTCGCATTCTGTACCTACTTACATAATTATGTATATTTTGTATTTCTCAGTCAAGTCAATATAAATTGTTTTTGAAAAATAAATGTCTTAAACCGTAACTTCTTATAAACACACTAAAAATATCGTAACTTCTTTACACATCTCACAAGTGGCTCCACAGGAATATCACACTTATGAACTAAACAATTCCTTATAAAATTGCATATCTACAGCATGACCCTTTAACCGCAGCAATGGTCCACCACAGACGTTCCGCATAGACTCGGAAGGTCGCTCGACGGCTGAGGTGAAGGACCTAGCCCCTGGGAGAACTTATGAAGCTTGGGTCACCGCTAGCACGGCGGCAGGAGAAGGCAGTGCTACCAGAAGGGTGTCTCATACTCCTACACATAGAGGTACGTTGAACTGAGGTTAAGGAAAATATTTGTCTGCAAATAATTCGGTTCGAGTTTTGATAATTCAAACTGATTCAAATATGACACAATTTTACTGTTCACTTAAATTATCGTCACTTTAAATAAGTTTTTTTTTTCGATCTATCGATCAATTTCCGATTAGCAGTCAATATCATTACCATATTATCACCCTCCTTGTTCAATGATAAAATATATTTTAATTTTAAATAAGGAGGACGACACAGGATACAGAAGACGTTTCATTATAAAAAAAATAATAATGCACACTTATTGTGAATCTTCTTCTTAGTCGTTCTCTTCATTACTGAAGGTTGTGTCTAGTCTGGTGCACGTGTTACTTGATGCACAACCCTCCTCCTAACGCCCCGGTTCTCTGCAGTCTTTATAGCTTGTGGAATTGACAGGCCGGTGAGGTTTTCTACAGCATCCAACCACCGGGTAGGTGAGCGACCACGAGGTCTTTTCCCGTAAACCTGACCAACAACCACAAGCTTCTCCAGATTGTTCGGGTCTCTACACGCAATGTGGCCAAAATAGGTTAGTATTCGCTGCAGGCATACGGTGGACAACTTCACAGTATATCCGATCTGCTTGACAATGAAGACGTTGGTGCCACCAGCGGTCCAAGGAATACGGAGCCAAGGATATGTCTCCAGCACCACATTTCGAAGGGGTCAATGTTTGCTTTCTCAGTTTTTCTAAGGAGCCAGGACTCGACGCCATACAAGAAAATGGTGAAAACCAGCGTACGGACCAGCCTCACTTTGGTTTTGTGACATATTATGTTTCGGTCCTTCCATATCTTGGTGAGTTTCGTCATTATTGATTTGAACAACTAGATTGTTTGTCTGATCTTCCCCACTATCAATATGATAGCCCAAATATATAAACCGATCCACAAACTCCAGGTCTCTGAGTTCATGTGAGCGAGTGTGTGTCCCCATTCTATCTATGACGAAGACTTTGTTCTTGTTTGTATTTATGGTGAGACCAACAGTTCGCTCTACTTCTCCAGTCTGGCGATCAACTATCTCGCTCTCGGACGATGCAAACAAGGTAATATCGTCCGCATACCTTAGGTTGCTAATTCTCCTGCCACCAACAGACACTCCACGCTCCTACCCCTCCAGAGCTCGTTTCATTATGTATTCTTCATATATATTAAAGAGAATGGGAGACAGGATACATCCTTGCCGGGCTCCCTTCCGAGGCCTAAATGGAAGCGACAGGACGTTGTTCACTTGCGGAATGGCAGCAACGACTGTCGCAACCGAAGGCTGGGCTCGCTGTCATTGCAGCGGTAAGTCCCCTCTTTGAGGAGTGGCTTGAGAGACGCTACGGCGTCCTCACCTACCGCCTGACGCAGGTGCTTA